ATCTAAAGACAAAAAAGTTTTATTTTTAATTACATAATCTAAACATAATATTAAACAGTATCGTACGCTGTATAAAAAAGTTAAAGCATGGTTTCAGAAAAAAAAGTTTTAAAAATAAAAACAAAGACGTATTGGCAAAATTATAAAAATAATATTGTATGTATTTTTAAAAAAACACCCGGTAAGTATTTTTTTAAATATTTAGAATATTGGAGTAGGTATGTATTTTAGTTTTTAATTTCTTTGTGCTGCCCCCTCAGATATGCTCTTTTGACCATCCTAGGCAACAAATTATAAATCAAACACTTTGACTTGCAAAACCTAGTAGTTAAAATTATTGTTGCGAGTATAATCAAGAATTCGTTTGTTGATGTAAAATAATCAATATTTTCTCATACAAATTTATTTTTGAACAATAAACGTGATGTTATAAATATAATGGCGTTTAAGATGATTTTTCACGATAAAATTAAAATTAAAAAAGTGATGGTAAAAAAAACCTACTTGTTTGATATATTATTATTTACAAAAACACTTTTTGGGTCTTTTTTAAGATGTGTTACGAAATTTCGGGTCAATTATTAACAATAAACGTAAAATAAATACAAACCCAACTATAAATTTTTAAATGAATAACAAAATACTAAATATTTCTCTAAAATTAACAACAATTTCAATGGAATTTTTATATTTTGTTGATGCTTTTTACCAACAATTATATTGATTTGAGTTGCATTTTTTTTGTATACATGGTGTTTTAGGAGCAATGGTTAATATTTTAGGAGATGGTAAAAATATAAAAATATTAAAATATATATCTACATAATTTGAGAAATGACTAACAAAATGATCTAGGTACTCTTTATATTATATTAAATATATATATATATATATATATATAACTATTAGGGTGCTTCAAAAAAAATTTTTTTTCGCTCTTACCCCCTCAAATGTTTTTATTTCATATAAAAAAATTCCTCACCAAATATGGGCGTTCCAGCTCAACTCTAAGAGGTCGCTGTTTTTATTTTAGTTTCCCATTGAATTAACATGAAAAAAAATTAATTTATGTTTGGAATTTTATACCTCTGTATCAAAGTAACTTATGGCAATGATCATTGCAGTTTCTTATATAAAATTTAACGCACTACAAAAAAGGTCTCCTATTATTTTTCGATAAATTAATTTCTTCTAGAGTCATTCGAGGTCAAAGTTTGATTAACATTAAATTTTCTGGTACAATTAGCAGACGGGAGGTGAAAGGGGGAAAACTTTGACCTCGAATAACTCTAGAAGAAATCAATTTATCGAAAAATAATAAGAGACCTTTTTTGTAGAGCGTTAAATTTTATATAAGAAACTGCAATGATCATTGCCATAAATTACTTTGATACAAAGGTATAAAATTCCAAACATAAATTTTTTTGAAGCACCCTAATTTATATATATATATATGTAGGGTGTGTCTTAATTGATGGCTGGTACTGAATGGGCTTTATCCTTGGATGATTTAAGGAAAAAAGTTTATATAAACTTAGGTCCGCAACCAGTTTATTTTGAATATATACAGGGTGTCCAAAAATATGTGGGCAATCTCCTGAATTTGGATAGAACACATAAAAATAATATGACAAGTTCCTATTCATTTTTTTATACGGCTCCCCTACGGAGATACTGGCAAATAAAGAAACGCCACTGGAAAATAGCATTCCTCTACGAATGTGTGTGTGTGTGCCCATATTAATAAGACTTTCCTAGTAAACATTATATTAAAAAATGATTAAATTCCACCTAGTAGTTCAAAAGTTATTTAAAAACAAACGATTTTTAGGGGTGTCTGTAATGGGACCGTATCTCCGTAGAGGGCCGTAAATTATATGAACTTGTCATATTATAATAATTATTTGTATGTGTTCTATTTAAATCCTGGAGATTGCCCACATATTTTGGTACACCCTGTATATATATAAAAATATATATATATATATAAATAATTAACTACTTCAATATTTTCTATGTGTTTGGATTAAATTGGGTAGGTAGTTTTTTCAGTGAAAAAGTTTATTTGAGCCTGTTATATTTTCTATACTCGTATTTTGCGTGCCATTTTGTATAAAAGCTGTAAACCCAATTTAAAGACAATAACTAAAAGGCCGCCCATGTCCTTCTTGCATAATCTGGACATATTCAAAGGATTCTATCAGAAATATAACCTTCGGAAATGAAAAAGGGCCTGTCGTAAAATAAGGGAGACCGTTCGGGCATGTTCAGCATAACAATGCCCCAGCATTTAGTTACGCTTTTGCTTTTCGCCAAATATCCTTTTACTTTTAGGACCTTTTAAGTTTTTGTTGCGTTTTTTTTGCATTTTGTGAGTAATTTAAGCAAATGCTTTACTTGGAATCTGATTTATGATATTCTAATCAGGGTACTTTGCATGGTCATTATATAAAGGCCAAACAAAATATTTGTGGAAGGAAATAAAAAAAATTGTTTAAGTAAAACTGGCATTGTAAATAAAACGTTTTAAAGTACATCACAAGAATATTAATTTTGTTTCCTAAACGAAAATATAAAAACCCGAATTGGTCCATAATTTATACTAATAACAGTGTGAACAAGTAATTAACATGGTTTTATATCGTCATAATTCTAGGATTTGAATACAAAGTAATTAATTTAATTTGGTAAACGCGGCAATTAAATGGATTATTATTAAATAAAAAATATATTAAGTGTCAGGAAACCATTAATTTGAGTTAGAGCCTATAAAAATAAGTGTTTTAAATCAAATTTGTAATATATGAGGCCAATGAAGTTGTGTGACAGAGTTATGAGTTTTTTGAGGTTCGTATAAAAATATTGAATTTTAAATGGGTATGAAATGCATTTATTGTAGCTACTTTATTATTTGTAGTTATTTTAAGCCAACAATTACCTACCAAAACATAATTTTTATCATGCTTGTTTTCTAAAATGTTGGACATTTTAAGTGGGCAAAGCGCGATAAAGTTATTTTTTAAATAAGCATTTATCGTATATTTTGGGGGCGTAGACCTTAAGTAACATAATACAGACTTCACTTATCCACTCGAAAACACGATATTTTTATCATAAATCTCAACGTAGGAGGTTTAACAACTTAAGCGTTTAAAGTACAGTGTACCATAAATTTCGAATAGTTAAAAGTATTAGAATTTCCACCGCATTTAAAATATTTTTTAAACTCATTAAGACAGGAATTTTAAATATTACCCTTGATAAAATTTTATTGAAATACTATCTATGGTGATCTGGTCATTAAATATAATTAATCCTAGATTCTCTGGTAGTTAATTAAAACATAAATTTTCAAAGATCATCTTAAATAATTTATTAATATATAACGCATGTTTACTAGCAGCGGCGCAGGTTATGATTGAAATATTCATATATATTTTTAACATAGACAATTTATAGTAAAAGTATATTATATAATATAAAATCTTTACCCCATTAAATAATTTATAAAGCATTTTTCATAAATGCCACGTTTATGGTAAACATAAGGATTTTTTGGTTAATATTAACTTAATAATTACAATGTTGTAGGGGTGTTTTTTATTGTACTGTTTATCTTTACAAAAAGGCAAAGAAAATAGCATTAATAATCGAATAATATTTTTTCAATCGTGATAGTAAATATACAATAAATTAAGGTATATTCTTGTCCATAAATTTATGGTTTACATATATAAAATATATTTTATCTTTAACCATAGATTTTTTAAATATTGTTTTCTCTAAAATTTAGTTTTAATAAATTGCGTAAAAATAATTGACCAGGTGTTTTATTTTTAAATCAACACATCACATATTTTTGGATACAAAAGAACCTCTAATATTTAACTATAAATTAATATAAACATAGTTAGTTACCCTGTTATAATACCAGAACAAAGATATAAATAACAATTGGGACAAAGGAATGCAGAACAAGTTTTATTCTTTTTGTGAGGTTTGAAATGTTATACCAGTGGATATAAAGTATTATAAGAGTTCTAAACTAGAACCCAAGTATCTAGACTAAACATTTTAGTATTTTTTTTATTTTTCAATATTTAATATCAAAACCTATTTTGCCTCCGCCACTGCGGTTTCACTAAGGTCGCCACAAAAAGACGACTAAGCTTGGGGCATCGAGCCGAAGAAAAAGCAAAAGAAGAAAAAAAACGCCGACGGGAACAAAAATAAAACAAACCGTTTGTTAGTTCGTCGGCGTGGAGAGAAGATAGCGAGTTAATGACGCTCGGTAAACGAGTTTTTTTCTCTCCTTTCGAGAACGGAACAGAATAAAGAGAACCAGATAAAACGGGCCGTGGGCCTGCATGCATCAGATAAATATGTCAACCGGCTTCTTCGGCCTTCCTCTCTCGCCTCACCAATTACCGGGGAAACGACGAACAAAATGGTCCGACCCAAGATGGCCGCCACACCGGCAGATGGTTCATTCTTGCGTTTTTAACCACAGCTAACTTTATATGAGCTACTACTTATTAGTTTTAGAAAATAAAAAAAATAATACTGGTGTAATAATATTCCGGCTTAAATTCTTATTTATATTAAGTATATGTTTAAACCTAATAGGCTTATATTTATTTACAAAAAACTTTAATATCATTTTAAAAATTTATTATTTATTTTTAAACTATAGTTATATGTAGAAAAAAATTTAAAATTGAAAATTTTAAATTTATAAAATGTCTTTGTAAACTTTTTGTTGTTATAATACAAGAATTGAAGCTTTTTGACCAAAAAACAGGTCGTGAATTTTTTGACTTTAACTTTGACCAAAAAGATGTGATTTTATTACTATGCATAATTTATAAAATAAAGTAGTACTTTTGTGTTTTAATATAAAATAAAAAAGTTTTAAAATAAAAATCCCTAAATGTTTTATTTAAAATAAATCGCTGTTATCAAAAATTCATTTTTTATTAAAAAAAAATAATTGCACTCACCTAAAGCGGCTGCAAAAATAATTGATCCTTTGAAACCAAAAGTAAGTCTTCTTTACTCCATATTGATGATCTTCTTCCTTGTGATGGTCTATCCTTAAATACACTGAAACAAATAAATTTCCATTAAATTTGCACAAGGTATTATATTTTTAAAATACATTTATCACGAGTTTTAATTAGGCACGAGTTTTTAATAAAAACGAGTGTCTAGAAAAGTTTATAAACTACGAGTATAGTTATAGGTATGGTATGCAACTATAGTTGCATACCATACCTAACCTACTTTATTGAAAATCACAAAGAAGAATTAAAAGGCTATTTTATTTGTTAAACATTTGACATTCAAAGCTGTTAGGCGAATTTAACCTTACTTTTTACCAATTTATAATAAAGCCAACTTAAGCCCCTGAGTAAAACGCGATAAAGTCAAAGTTTGTCAATGTGGAAGTAGATAATAAAATAATATGTATCAAGTTTAATATACGCCATTTTAGACAAGAATTTAATTTATTTAAATTAATGAGTAGAAAAGTCTATAAACGAGTTTCATACTATACTTTTTTATGGCATTTATTATTATCTAAAAATTTAAATTTAATATTTTTATAGAGCTGTATTACCGGCGCGCAGGTCAAAATGTCAAATTTTTATGTGTAAATCGAAATGTATCCCTTGAAAAAGGACCGTTTAATCCAATATAAAAGCAGTTTTTGACAGTGAAAGGAAAGAAAATGTTTTATGGGCACACCACGGTGAAGTCTTCACCCGAAATTAAGTTAAATCTAGTTTACGGCAAAATTAAAAAGTTAGTACAATGTTTATATAAACTTTTAAAATATTGGCGTTGAGAACCTATTTAATATATTAAATGTATACTTTTTAATATATTAATAGTATACTTTTTTATTTTAATAATAAAATAATTTTTACATTTAGTATTATTTTACAAGAAGGGCACTAGAAAAATTAGATATAGAAAATTCAGATTATATCTAAAAATCTGAATCTAACAAAGACCAAGTAACGCTAGGAGGCATATTTATTCGTGATACACGACCATGTCAAAAAACCAATTAATTTTATTTTAGGAATTCTCAAGAATCAACAGTTAATAAGCGTTACCTCCTGAATGCCGGCGAATAATTTATTAACCATATGTCTATAAGCGGCCATTTTGAATTTCGAAAAATACTGTAAGAGCTAAGTGAATTTCAACAAACTAAAATTGGATCCAGTACCATAGAAAGCTACCAACCCACAAGTTAGAAAAAATAAGGTATTTTTATAGTAAAGCAGCAAAAATTGCATGGACTTAAAAATCACTGTACCAGGAAAAATTTCCTAATTAGTGTGAAAAAAAGCAGGAAATCGATTAATTTTAATTAAAAATATTTAGTTTAAAAAATATAAATTTAAATTAAACATTGATTAACTCCATTTTAATTGGTCGAATGCTATAGCTGTAACAGCGTTTAGGTGAGTGTCAGAAATAAGTTTTGTGGACAATCGAAAAAAACTGTTTGTGGTGTGTTGCTTAAATAAAAGTATACATACCTACAATACCAGTGAAATAACCCGAAAGCGCAAAAATGCTTTAACACTTTTTGCCTTTATAATACGGGAGTAACAACAATATTTCACAAAAAAGCCTTTTTTCCATGACATAACTAAATATTCATTCAGCATTTTAAAATTGGTTATCGTACCTACTTTTTCTACTACATTTCTCTTAAAACATATGCGACTTGGTCCATGTGTTGCAGCCATGCTTTTCTAAATTTAACTCTTGATGGCGAGATGCCGTTGACAGGAAAGCATCGAACAAAATTTTATGGCTGTTTTTGTTAATGAAAGGTCTTGTTTCGCGTCTAACATACGCCACATTTCAAAACGAACCAAAATAAACCCATAAAATTGATTAAATTGATGAAAAAATAAAATGAAAATAGAATTTGGAAAATTTTTCAATCACCAACATATTGTTGTTTGTTTCAAGTAGGTAGATAAAAATTTAAATTTGCAATAAAAAATAACCGCAAAAGTAAATTTACTTGGTTTTATCAAGAAATTCCATTTACGGTACACGCCATATTTTTTAAAGATTATCGACTCGGCCAAGTATCCCTCCACAAAACTGTCTGACCGGGTAGTAACTCACTATACTTTATTAACCTGAGTCACACCTTTTTAACGTTACGATATTTAACTCCACACATAACCTTAATGTTTTATAAAAAAAGTTCATTGATCTCAAGGATCATTTGTATGATAATTCAAATTCTAATCTGGTAAATTACCATATCAAATGTTTGTTTATATTCGTCGATGGCGTAGTAAATTAAGAAAGGACTTTCTAGGTCACAATTTTTACGCTTGGGCCCTTTAAACGACTTTAATCGATTCGAAAGTATTTTATTGTAGTTATCTACATGAATGGTGAAAGCTGGAACAACTCTATTTTGACCAGAAAGTCCAAATATTTTTGGTTCCACAAGATTTATGTGAAGATAACAAAAATAAAGTTTTGCCCAAGCAAATAAATTTGTTGTAAAGTGTGTGAAATATTTAAAACTGCAATAAATATAACATAAATTAAAACCAAGTACAAATGGTGTAGGTACCTATAGGTACAATATATAGGTATACATTTAAAAATATAATACATTTTTTAATATTCATATTTTTATATGTTACCAATTTAAATTAATTTGAATGAAATAACGTATTATTACCTTTTATAAATCTATCAACACTTAAATACATTAGGCAATAAAATATGTTTATGGCAAGTCACAAAAAATACACCTACCAAGTGAATGAGTTTTATTGTTAAAATGGTTAATAAAATAAAAGACACTTAATTTCAATAATTTTGATTTACTTAATTGTTTAAGTGGCAATTTTATTGTTTTGTTTACTTTGCGGTTTAATTAAGCCGTAATAAATACTTAATTTGATTTGTTTTTGCATCTCCATAATTGATTTAAGTATTTTAAATGGCTATAAGTATAAATTTAGACCTTTTAAAAAATATTAAAAGACAAAAAGTATCGCAAATTAATATTTTTAATAATTTAATTTTTTTAATTGATAAGTTTACTATTTTTGTTTTTACCACAAAAGATTATACTAAATAAATACGCAGAAAAAAGGCTAGCATAGCATGAATGGGTGAGCCATTAAACCAATGGGATCTTGTAATCCGTATTATACGCAGAAAAAAGGCTAGCATAGCATGAATGGGTGAGCCATTAAACCAATGGGATCTTGTAATCCGTATTCCTGAATAACAGTTCCTATAATACCAATAGGTAGCACTTGGTTTATAATTGTTTACTGTTTTTAAATTAACTACAAAAGTTATCGCTCCTAAATCTATTGATATTTATATTGATATTTATTTTCATTTGTTGTTAGAATGTTATTGCATTAAATACTAATTTGATTTATTTAATAATGTTACTATAGCATGTATACTATGTATACATTTAACGCAATACATTCTTTGACATTAAGACAAAATGTTTTCCTATTTTGGTTTAATAGTAATTAATTGAGCAAATAACAATTAAGATTGCTTCAATTTTAATGCATTTAATGACAGCGCTGTTCTTTTACTTGTTCTACTATGTTAGATTTTTATACACATATAAATTATAGTTTAAAAATAATGATATAATGATTATACTAAAAATAACTATTAAATAAAGATCGCTTGAAGAAAAATGTAATCAAACAAAAGCAAATAATCTTAATGTTATGCCGCAATGTTTAATTTTGAGACACTTTTTTATTTTATTAATCTATCATCATTAAATTTATAACGATGAAATAAAAAAAGGTCCTAAAATTAAGCCTAGCTTTTTATTTGCATTTGCTTTCGAAAAAATTCAAGAATTAGATTTTCGATTTAGATTTTTAATATATGGTACAAAAAGAGTACATACAAAAGTGCTCTTTTAGTTTCACCCTTACTTCCTAAAAAGTCTCAGAAGCCAACTGAATGGTTTAAACGGGTTAGGAGTAGGATTGGACCGCTGACCCTCTAAAGGACTAATTCACAATAGGACAAACACAAAAAACCACCATACCAATGTGGGAGTCGAACCCATGAACTCTCGGTTTGTAGTCAGCAGCACTGACCAATAGTCCACCATTTTTACTTAATGGAATGATGATAAAAGTGCTAAAAGTGACAATTTAATTAAAATAAGATCACTTTTAGAACATTAAAAGTAAAAAACGTTATATTATATTTATAAAATATGAATCCCGTGGTCCATGTTTAAAGCTAGTAGACAAGTAACTTTAAATTTCGTGACATGGCAAGTGATAAAGAAAATAAGTTTCTCCCGGCAGAAATCGAAGAAGTTGCTAATAAAGCAACTTTCTATTTAGGTATAGCCTTTAGGCTATACTATATACTATAGACTATACTATAATTAATATATTATAATTAAGTAAATACTGTACTATAGTAGTCAAAGGATCATGTTGCAACGGTCCGAGTTTTCGTACATTAAGTCTATTCAAATCCAAGCTGGACTAAATGTAAACACAATCCTCCGAATCGACCAATAAGAGCTCACAATCCGAGTCACACCATCAGAATCGACCAATAGAAACGAGTTATCACGCGTCTGGGCGTTTTTGTTTAGTCCAGCTTGGATTTGAATAGACTTTAGTTTCTTGAGATGGTGAGATATAAAAAATGTTAGTGGCTAGTTTAGTAAAAAAGTGTTTTTCATACTTTAAAGAAAAAATTGTCAACGCTTTGGCCAAATTATTCCATGTTGAATGCGATGAGAAGAATCAGAACAGGAGCATTACTTACGAAATGGTGAAGGATACAGACCGACAAAGTCGAAAGTATTCACCAGGGAACAAATACAAAAGGTTATTTTTTTCCCAGTGTTAAAAGTAAATTAAGCCATTTACTTTTAACACCAGTGCTAAAAGTAAATTTTTTTTAACACTGCAGTTGACATGCCGTATATATACGTTGTATACAACGTTGAAAATTATACTTTTACCATTGATTCGTTTGCAGAAAAAAAATTTAATTTAAATTTTGGGCGTTTTTGAAGACTTAACCTAATATCG